AAATATGTTTTAAAAGACATAAATACCCTTATAAAAATATGTGATGGTGGCGATGGTGGTGGTGGTGGCGGCGGCGGCAGCGGTGGTGGTGGCGGTGGTGGTGATGGTGGTGGTGGTGGTGGCGGTGGTGGTGTTGGGGTGGTAGTGGTGGTGGTGGCGGTAGCAGTGGTGGGGGCGACGGTGGTGGTGGTGACGGTGATGGTTGACGGTGACGGTTGTGGCAGTGGTGGTGGGGGCGGCAAGGGTTGTAGCGGTGGTGGCGGTGGTGCTACTGGGTGGTGGTTCTGGTGGCGGTGGTGGTGGTGGCAGCGGCTGCGATGATGGTGGCGGTGGTGGTGATGGTGGTGGTGGCGGTGGTGGTGCTGGGGTGGTAGTGGTGGTGGTGGCGGTGGCAGTGGTGGTGGGAGCAACGATGATTGTGGCGATGGTGGCGGCGGCAACGATGGTGGTGGTGGTGGTGGTGGCGGCGGCGACGGTGATGGTGGTGGCGGCGACGACGGTGGTGAAATAGGATAAATTTATATATAGGATAAAAAAATTAGGTTAAAGAAAGGGGTAAAAAAGGAAATAGATTCTAAAATCTATTCCTGAGCGTTCAGTAATAGGCTAATACTAGGGGGGGCCCTAGTAATAGCTATTACCTTATTTGAGGTAATAGGCTATTACCAGGAATATTATTCATGGTAATAGAAATGGTTACCAAACAAAGGAATAGGCCTATTACTGGGAATGCTATGTCATTCCCAGCTTATTCCGTGAACCAAACGGGTCATTAAGGTGCATAAGTTCTACACTTAAATGCATCATTTTAACGCTTAAGGTAAGTGATTTTACTGCTTAAGGTGCGTCTTTGTAACACTTAAGGTGCACCATTTTAAATACTGATGGTGCGTAATGTTAAGGCTTAAGGTGCATCATTTTAACACATAAGGAGAATCACTCTAACACATAAGATGCGCCATTTTTAGACTTTGCTTCTTCCTTCACAACGTGTGTTTTTTTTAAAAAAAAGTTTTCATTGATTTGAGCCGCTGATCTTGATTTGATCAACGACTCAGATCTCACTGCATGTTCGCACTTAGGAGATTTTTCGCACCAGATCCTATCCATATATATATATATATATATATATATATATATATATATATACACACACACACATGTGTATATATATATACATACATGTGTATATATACATACATATATGTGTATACATACATACATACATATATATATATATATATATATATATATATATATATATATATATATATATATATATATGGATAGGATCTGGTGCGAAAAATCTCCTAAGTGCGAACATGCAGTGAGATCTGAGTCGTTGATCAAATCAAGATCAGCAGCTCAAATCAATGAAAACTTTTTTTAAAAAAACGCACGTTGTGAAGGAAGAAGCAAAGTCTAAAAATGGCGCATCTTAAGTGTTAGAGTGATGCACCTTATGTGTTAAAATGATGCACCTTAAGCCTTAACATGTATGTATGTATATATACACATGTATGTATGTATGTATATATATATATATATATATATATATATATATATATATATATATATATATATATATATATATATATATCTACTATACTAATAAGAGCCCAAGAGAGTTAGGCCTATAATGGGTAGAAAAAATGGCGGTCACAGATTTTAATCAAATGTATGGCTCAGATTGATTAAAAGATTGATCAGATTTAAATTTTACACTAAAATTTACTAAAATACGCACACATCGTTACTAATTCCGTTAAAATTTTAAGAATTGCAGTTAGTTCACCGTTAACTTACTCATTGATTTCAATAAAAATAAAAAGGTCTTAGGTTCAAACCTCATCTTAATCAAAGTTGGCATAATTAGTAATCTATTTTACTCTTATTAAATTATATAAATAATAATTTAGTAGTTACAACGAAAAATAATACATATGCATTTCTTTAATTTAGAATTATGTGTCGACAATGTCTTTATTCAAAAAAAAATTATTCATTATCAATAAATTAAATAAGAGAAATAATTTTATTAGTTATATTGTCTTTATTTTTTTTCAATATAAAAATTCTTTATATTCAAATATATTAATTGATTATATTCGCTACATTATCCTTACAATGTCTTTATTCAGTGAAAAAAATTATTAATTATCAATAAATTAATTAAAAGAAATATTTTCATTAGTTATATTGTCTTTATTTTTCTCAAATGTAAATATTTTTACATCCAAATTCATCAATTGATTATATTCACTACATTATCTATTATCTTTTTTTGTGCACTATTTTTCTAATTAAATATCAAAGTTATAATACAAAATAATGCTATATATTTATTTACCAAGTATTTTATTAATACCATGAAAAAATTTACAAATATATAATTAATAAAGCCAACCATATTAACTACTTGAGAGATTTTGTGACAAAGAGAGTATTCAAATCACACAACAAATTGAAGTGAAAACTACCTCCGCAATGTCCTTGTTTGACAATCAGCAGTTAGCAGTTAGCGTTAGCGGAGTATACTATCGGATTTGACCAGCGAATTTATTTAATTATTAACATTGGGTAGAAAAAATGACCGCCAAATTATTAAATCAAATGAATGGTTCATATTGTTCAGGTTTTAATTTTTTTCTTTTAAGATTTTATAATTTATCTTTAATTATATGATTATCCATTTAACTTTTCCGTTAATTCACCGTTAGTCTAATTCTAATATTAAAGTCTAATATAGAATTATAACTACACCATTAATCTAATTCTAATATTAAAGCTAAGTCTTAATAGAACTTAACCACAAATCCTAATGTCGGAATCTCCTCAAACAATATTAGTATATATTTAATATTTTATGCCCTAATTTTTATTTGTTTTCCCTTATGTCCCGTATTTGGTTTCAACCATACCTATACAATTATTTTATTGACAATTATAATCAATCTTGACTATATTATCTTGCATTTGTAAACTTAGAATTACCTATTTAACCTGCACAGGCTTAGCTCAATGGTTTAGTGGGTAGTATTTGGGAGAAGAGACCAAGATTTGAACCTCGGCAGCGGTAGTGCAGGAATTATGTCCAAAGTAGACAGATTCCTTGTGCGTATCAGCATTTGGCCTTGTCTGTTGAACCATTGAGTCACTGTGATTTACAACTTCCTACAATGCTCTGTCGGGTCAGAGTGTGGAAGGCCCTTGGGGTTGGGGACTCAACCTTTGGGGGAAGAATTACCTATTTAAATACGCAAATTCAACCTTCAATTATCTATGCATGAACAATTTCAATATAATCCTGCCTTAATATACTTTAAAGTACTTATTAAAAAAAATGCATTGGGCATTATCCCAATCGCGCAATGTGCATAAAAAACTAGTATATATATATATATATATATATATATATATATATATATATATATATATATATATATATATATACATACATATATATGTACATATATATGTATATATATATATATATATATATATATATATATATATATATATATATATATACATACATATGTATATATATATGTATGTATGTATATATATATATATATACATACATACATATATATATACATATGTATGTATATATATATATATATATATATATATATATATATATATATATATATATATATATATATATATATATATATATACTAGTTTTTTATGCGCATTGCGCGATAGGGATAATGCCCAATGCATTTTTTTAAAATAAGTACTTTAAAGTATATTAAGGCAGGATTATATTGAAATTCTTCATGCATAGATAATTGAAGGTTGAATTAATGCGCATAAAAAACTAGTATATATATATATATATATATATATATATATATATATATATATATATATATATTGGGGACTCAACCTTTGGGAGAAGAATTACCTATTTAAATACGCAAATTCAACCTTCAATTATATATGCATGAACAATTTCAATATAATCCTGCCTTAATATACTTTAAAGTACTTATTTAAAAAAAATGCATTAGGCATTATCCCAATCGCGATCCCAATCGCGCAATGCGCATAAAAAACTAGTATATATATATATATATATATATATATATATATATATATATATATATATATATATATATATATATATATATATATATGTATATGTATATATATATATATATATATATGTATATATATATGTATATATGTATGTATATATATATATATATATATATACATATATATGTATGTATATATGTATGTATATATATATACATACATATATATGTATATATATATGTATATATGTATATATATATATATATGTATATATATATATATATATACATATACATGTGTGTGTGTGTTCCCGTGCGATTGTGTGTGTCAAGTACGATTGTGGGGTGAGATGAGAGTCATTGGTCTTGTAAAGATCAACGTCCAAGATTCACAAAATTAAAAAAAAAAAATGCGATGGCAATTTGATATTTTTGCATCTAGGTCAAATTTAAGGTATGTTGTTTTCCTTCTTAAGGTGCGCGGTATTTGTTTTGTGTGTTTATTTCCTTCTTAAGGTGCGTAGTTTGTGTGCTTAAGATGCGTCAGTTGTTGAAACTTAAGGTGCGTCGGGCTAAAGCTTTAGGTGCGTGATTTTCCTTCTTAAGATGCATGATTTTTGTGCTTAAGGTGTGTCATTTATTGAAACTTAAGGTGCTTCGGCCTAAAACTTTAGGTGTGTGGTTTTCCTTCTTAAGGTACGCTGTTTTCCTTCTTAAAGTACGTTGTTTTCCTTCTTAAAGTGCGTTAGTCTTATTATTATTGTAACATAATATTAGTTTGAGCTATAGTTGATTTAGTCCTTAACTGCTTATCTGATGTATAGGACTAATTGGTTAGGCTTAGACTCCTAAGTCTATTGTATCTCTCAGTTGTATCCAGTTGATCGAATACATTGCACATTCATCTGGTATCATACGCTCAGGTGATCCTTTTCTCTCTCCTCCAAAATAGACATGTCGACTAATTCCAGTGAGCGCACGGTGAGTGCAACCGTGACGTCGTCGACAACCCCCACCAACCTCACTACCGCCCACCACCTTGTCTCCCTCAAACTCACGACCAAAAATTATTTATTTTGGCGTACTCAGTTAATACCATTCCTACGCGGGCAAGGCTTGCTCGGTTATGTCACTGGCGATACACCATGTCCGGCTGCGTTGATCCTTCCGCCGGCGACCAGTGACGCAAGCTCCGGTGCCGCGCCGTCTACTCCGACCCCCAATCCGGCGTATGGTTTTTGGATCCAACAAGACCAAAGCATACTGTCGCTCCTTATCTCGTCCTTATTGGACGAGGTTATGTATCTTGCAGTGGGCAGAGATACATCCCGGGCGGTGTGGACGTCGATCACTTCGGCGTTAGGATCGTCGACGAGGGCAAGGTGCTTAAACCTTCTTGCGCAGTTTCAGAGTCTCCGTCAGGCCGACAGCTCGGCCGGAGAATACGTTGGACGGGCGCAGCTGGTCGTGGAGGACTTTGCGCTCGCCGGCCGACCGGTGTCACTCGACGAACAGAACCTCTACGTCTTCTGAGGGCTCCGGCCGGAATTCCGGTCAATGGCGTCTTCTCTAGCTGCCTCAGGTAATCCCGTCACCATTCCCCAACTCGCCGATTTCCTACAGGCTCAAGAGTTCATATGGGCCGAGGACTTTCTTCCGGCGGGTGGCGTGCCGGCGGCGTCGCATCAGGCGCTGCATACTGGCAGAGGGCAGCGCGGTTCAGGTACTGGAGGTGGATCGCGTGGCTCAGGTTCTGGAGGTGGCGGACGAGGCCGGAACGGTAGAGGAGGCCGTGGAGGCTGGCAGGGCAGAGGGCGTGGCGGAGTCCCTCGCTGTCAGATCTGCCGGAATCAAGGCCATACAGCAGTCCATTGTTTCCGGCGGTATGATCAGGCCCCTCCTCAGGCGCATGTGGCAGTGTCCGGGGAAGACGGCAGCGTCGTGGCGGATGGCTGGTTCCCGGACACCGGCGCTACCTCGCACGCGACACCGGACGCGACAATGATGGCTCACTCTGACTCGTACACGGGTGGTGATGTCTTACGTGTGGGCATCGGGTCAGGTTTGGATATTTCCAGTATTGGTCGTGCATCGATAAATTCCGTGTCTGGTTCATTAGCTTTAAATGATATATTACATGTCCCCAATTTGTCTGTACCATTATTATCTGTTAATCGTTTTACAACTGATAATAATGTGTTTTTCGAATTTCACCGTGATTTCTTTGTTGTGAAGGATTGTCGAACCAAAACGGTGCTTCTTAAAGGTCCTAGTACGGGCGGATTGTACAAACTGTCTCGGTTTGGGTCACAAGTTGCTTACATAAGTGCCCGTGCGTCAACAGAAATTTGGCATCGCCGTCTTGGTCACCCCCACGATCGTGCTTTACAACGTGTCCTTCAAAATTGCCCTGTTGATAAAAATAAGTCAAACACGTTTCAGTTGTGCTCCGCGTGTCAACTTGGGAAATCGTCCCGATTTCCTTTAGATAGGGTTATTTCTGCTAGCAATAATGTATTGGATCTAATATATACAGACATTTGGGGGCCCGCACCCATTGTTTCGGCGGGTGGTTTTCGTTATTTTTTATTATTTGTTGATGACCACTCGCGTTTCTGCTGGTTTTACCCGTTACGGTTAAAGTCAGACATTTATGCAATTTTTGAGTCCTTCCGTGTCATGGTAGAACGCCAGTTTTCGCGTTCTATCAAGTCCATTCAATCTGACCTTGGCGGTGAGTACCGCAGGTTACACTCTCGTTTCACTTCACTCGGCATTGGGCATAGGCAATCATGTGCCTATACACATGAGCAAAATGGCCGTGTTGAACGCCGTAACAGGCATATCGTTGAAACAGGTCTCGGTTTACTTGCTCATAGCTCCGTCCCACAAAATCATTGGGATTCAGCGTTTGAGACGACAGCTTATCTAATTAACTGTCTACCCTCATCAGCCATACAGTTCTCGAGTCCATATGAGTTCCTGTTCAAAAAACCCCCACCATATACATTCTTTCGCGTCTTCGGGTGCAAGTGTTATCCCTATCTGCGGCCCTACAATCGCCACAAGATAGAGTACCGCTCTGCATGAACCTCAATACCGGGAAAATCTTTATCTGTCGCCACGTCCGTTTTGACGAGACTTGTTTCCCTTATGCTGTAGGTTCTAGTATGGATACGCCAACGGTGCACCCGAGTCCACTATGGGCATCGGGCCCACTTGTTCCTTATAAGCCAACTGAACCGCCACTTGATGTGGCCCCGTTGGCAGTTCAACAACCGATAGCCATTCAAGAACGGCCTCTAGCTGTTCAAAGTCAACCTGCACCTCGGCGTGTAAGGAGGCGTGCCCCCCCCAGCTCAGCCTCAAGATCGGGCACATGTCATGTGTCTACGTCATATGACGAAGGGAACGGGTGAACCGTTACAGGCCTTAATAGTATCTGCTGACCCTACTTGCTATACACAGGCTGTGGGACATCCAGAGTGGAGAGATGCCATGGACCAAGAGTTCAATGCTCTACTCCATAACAGCACCTGGTCGCTCATACTACCTAAGCCCAGCTTAAATGTGATTGGCTGCAAGTGGGTCTACCGCACCAAACGGAAGGCTGATGGGTCCGTTGAGCGGTACAAAGCCCGTTTGGTGGCCAAAGGGTTCAATCAGGTCGCAGGGGAGGACTTCTTTGAAACTTTTAGTCCAGTAGTTAAACCGACTACTGTCCGCATGTTACTATCCATGGCTGTTTCGCAGGGTTGGACTCTACGGCAGTTAGATGTTCACAACGCTTTCCTAAACGGGAATCTAGCTGAAACGGTATATATGCGTCAGCCACCCGGATATGAGGACCTAACACATCCTGATTATGTGTGTCTTTTACAGCGATCATTATACGGGCTTAAACAGGCACCACGGGCCTGGTTTAAGCGCCTACATGATTTTCTTCTTACTACTAGCTTTACAACCTCTAAAACTGATGTCTCGCTCTTCTATTACACAGCTCAGGACTCACGTGTTTTTCTTCTGGTATATGTTGATGACATCATCATGATGGCGAATGACACCACCTTACTCACCACTCTGCTTAACCGCCTATCCGCAGCGTTTAAAATCCGGGACCTGGGTCAGCCAGGGTTCTTCATTGGGATTCAAACTCTGTCAGTTCACGGTGGTCTACATTTGTCACAACGACGCTATATGGAAGATATTTTGACTCGTGCAGGGATGTCTGATTGCAAGCCACTCGCTACCCCTGCTTCTCTGTCATACTCTGTTGCTCCCTCTTCGGAGTTATATGAGAATCCCACACAGTATCGGAGGCTGGCTGGTGCCCTCCAGTACTTGACTATTACCCGGCCGGATTTATCATATGCAGTCAACCGGTTGTGTCAGTTTATGCACGCCCCCACGGATGATCACTGGGGTCTGCTTAAACGAGTTTTACGATATGTTAAGGGAACTCCCACGCACGGTCTTCGTCTTTCTATGTCTCCGTCTACAGCCATCCATGCTTATTCAGATTCAGACTGGGCTGGGTGTCCCATTGACAGGAAATCAACTAGCGGATATGCGGTCTTCCTTGGTGCTAATCTGGTTTCCTGGGTTTCCCGCAAGCAGCGGACTGTGGCCCGATCATCGACAGAAGCAGAGTACAAGGGTCTTGCTGATGTTGCTGCTGAGGTCACTTGGGTGATCTCTCTTTTACGTGAGCTTGGTCTGCATGATAGCACTCCAGCGACGCTCTGGTGTGACAATTTGGGAGCCACCTACTTGTGTGCGAACCCGGTCTTTCATGCTCGTACTAAGCATGTGGAGATCGACTATCATTTTGTTCGGGATAAGGTGGCCTCTGGTGACTTCTTGGTTAATTTTGTTTCAACAAAAGATCAGCTAGCGGATATCTTCACCAAACCACTAGCAGCAGCACGGTTCGGAGTGTTACGAAGCAAGCTCAATGTTGTCTCTCACACACCTTGTGCTTGAGGGGGAGTGTTAGTCAGTATTACATTTATATTATTATTGTAACATAATATTAGTTTGAGCTATAGTTGATTTAGTCCTTAACTGCTTATCTGATGTATAGGACTAGTTGGTTAGGCTTAGACTCCTAAGTCTATTGTATCTCTCAGTTGTATCCAGTTGATCGAATACATTGCACATTCATCAGTCTAAAGCTTTAGGTGCGTGGTTTTCCTTCTTAACGTGCATTGTTTTCCTTCTTAAGGTGCGTTGTTTTTCTTCTTAAGGAGTGCAATTATTACAGTTTTTCTTTTTCATTCAATAGTACAATGAATTTTTCCAATTTTGGTTCCGAAATTCATAATGATTTAATTCAAAAGAAAAAAAAAAATGATAGCAATATAATAACAAATGGTGGAGATATTATCTTTGGGGTATTCATGAAGGAAAACTCCATTTTTCACCTGCTAGGAGCATCTTCGAACCAAAATTTTTCCAGTTTATCCGCGTTTTTTTTTAAATTTTCATTGATTTGAACCGTTGATCTAGATTTGATCAATGACTCAGATCTAATCCCATTTTTCACCTGGGAACATCTCCGCACTAGAACTCATCCCCATATATATATATACTAGTTTTTTACGCGCATTGCGCGATTGGGATAATGCCCAATGCTTTTTTTTTTTTTTTTTTTTAAATAAGTACTTTAAAGTATATTAAGGCAAGATTATATTGAAATTGTTCATGCATAGATAATTGGAGGTTGAATTTGCGTATTTAAATAGGTAATTCTTCTCCCAAAGGTTGAGTCCCCAACCCCAAGAGCCCCCCCACACTCCGACCCGACAAAGCATTGTGGGAAGTTGTAAATCACGGTGACTCAATGGTTCAGTAGACAAGGCCAAATGCTGATACGCACAAGGAATCTGCCCACTTTGGACATAATTCCCGCATTGACGCCGCCGAGGTTCAAACCTTGGTCTCTTCTCCCAAATACTACCCACTAAACCATTGAGCTAAGCCCGTGCGGGTTAAATAGGTATTTCTAAGTTTACAAATGCAAGATAATATAGTCAATATTGATTATAATTGTCAATAAAATAATTGTATAGGTATGGTTGAAACCAAATACGGGACATAAGGGAGAACAAAAAATTAGGGCATAAAATATGAAATATATACTAATATTGTTTGAGGAGATTCCGACATTAGGATTTGTGGTTAAGTTCTATTAAGACTTTAATATTAGAATTAGATAATGGTGTAGTTATAATTCTATATTAGACTTTAATATAAGAATTAGACTAACTGTGAATTAACGGAAAAGTTAAATGGATAATCATATAATTAAGGATAAATTAGAAAATCTTAAAAGAAAAAAATTAAAACCTGAACAATATGAACCATTCATTTGATTTAATAATTTGGCGGTCATTTTTTCTACCCAATGTTAATAATTAAATAAATTCGCTGGTCAAATCCGCTTGTATAATCCGCTAACGTTAACCGCTAACTGCTGATTGTCAAACAAGGACATTGCGAGGTAGTTCTCACTTCAATTTCTTGTGTGATTT